CTCAGTCCCGGGCACCTCAGCCCCGGGCACGGCACCTCAGTCCCGGGCACGGCACCTCAGCCCCGGGCACGGCACCTCCGCACCGAGCGCGCCGCGTTCGCCGCTCCCGTGCGCAGCACCTCGGTGCCGGTGCATGCCCTGCTCCCGGCCCTGCGCCTCCGGCAGCGCCGCCAGCCCACCTTGGGTCCCCCGAAGACTCTCTGTGCCCGCTCCATGCTGCCGCTGCCGCCGCTCTGCCGCCGCTCCGCGCCCGGCCCGCCGGCCCCGCTCGCCCGGCCCGCCGGCCCCGCCCCGGCCCGCCCCGCGCACGCCGGGCCCGGGGCCGGCACACAGCGACCGCGCTCTGCGGAGGGCTGCGAGCGTCTCATCCCCCCTGCCATGGCAGGGACACCTGCCGCTGTCCCAGGCTGCTCCCAGCCCCGTCCAGCCTGGCCTTGGGCACTGCCCGGGATCCAGGGCAGCCACAGCTGCTCTGGGCACCCTGGGGCACCCTCGTCATTCTCACAGGGAGGAATTTCTCCCTCACGTTTAATCTAAACCCACCCTTCATGTAATCCCAGTCGAGTTTCCTTCAGGAGCTGCTCCCCCAGTGATAACATTTGCAGAAAACGGAACTGAAAAAAAATGATAGGTTGGCCCAAAGAACAGGAAAGCAATCTTCAGCTTTGATTTCATCTTTAGACAATTCAACAATGTTTGTTTTAACCTTTCCTGCTCTCATACCTTAGTGACTCACTTTATTTTGTTTGATGGCTTTCAGTTCACCACATCTACTTGTAGCTCCTGCAAACTCACACTTAGCTTTCCATTTCTTATTTTTAGTGACCTGGCCATGTTTTATTCTACTCCTCTGCCTCCTGCTTTCCTCTCCTGTGGGTGATGCATATGGCAAGCCACATCTTTGAAGACAGTGAGGCAGAAAGCCAGAGAATCACAGAATGGTTGGGAACCTCTGGAGATCATTTAGTCCAGCCCCACTGCTAACACAGCTTCACCTAGTGTAGGTTGCACGGGGTCGTGTCCAGGTTGTTTTTGAGTATCTCCAGAAAAAGAGACTTTCAGAGTAGTTCTGCCTGCTCCTCTCTGCATGGGTTCTCTGATTCTGGGAAGAGCAGAGTTTCAGTCACTCCAGACTTAGTGTCCCCATCTAGCTAAAGGCAAATTTGCCAAATGGAATCTTCCCTAGACTGACCCTTGGGGAACATCCCTGGGGCTCATGTTCAGCCCTGGGTGAGATGAGATTGAAGATTCCCAGAAGGCACTGACCAGGCAGCTGGTATTCTCAAAATCACTGCAGAGACAAGGACCACAGTTTAGTTCCTCATGATAGGAGTTCACCTGCCCAGGTGAGGCCATCCCCAGACCACGGGCCGGGTCTGCATGGAGCCTTGGAGACAAAAGTCACTATATCAATGAAAGATACTATTGTTATTTGCTCTGGTGCGTAAGCAGAGCAAGCATTTGGGGCTCTGGTTGTGAACACTACCACAAATGGTTGCAAAATAAAGTTTCTTCATCTCCTTCCCCAGCTGTGTTTACTCCAGATGGACACTGTTTGTGGAAGCTGGCTGCAGGGGATTAGCTATGTAGAGCTCTGCTTGTGGGGATGGGGAAGGCTGGGTGCTCCTGCAGCCCTGTGCTGTCACAGCCAGGTGACAACGAGCAGCCCTGAAAGCAGGGGCTGCAAGCTGGTGCTGCCACTGCTTAGTGAGTGCAGGACTTGCTACAGGCTCACTGCTCCACAGGGAAATGTCACCAGCCTCCCTTGTCCTCCTCCCCAGCTTGGCCATGAGAGCAGTGATGGCATTTCTGCCCCAAAGCCAAGTAGGCATTGAGAAAACAGAAGTTTTTCAGCTCAAATCCCAAGGTTATTTGGGTATGTGCACTGCAGTGGAGCCTGTGGGAATAGCCCAGGGCTTGGCTGATGTGGAAGGTTCATCACCATGTTCTCTTTTATTGCATACAACCTTTCAGGGATGCCCTGACTGCATCCATGCTGTACAGACAAAGCACACTAATCACAGCTAACAGGGAAAAATATTCTTTACAGAATAGTGACTGGCAGGGGAAAGTAATCATTGGCTGCCAAGTGTGGGGCCAGCACCACTCAGGCTTCCAGGAGGCTGTGGGATGGAGCAGCACTGACCAGGCTTATGGAAAATGAGCAGGAATAAACAGTATATGGTTTAAAGTTGTTTCAAACTTGCAAAGCTTTGAAAGAGCTCAATTTGGAAAACACACTCTCCCCTCTCTGTGTGTGCATAGATGGTCTGGGCACAAACAAAATTAGCCACTCGGTGTGAGACTGCCTCTGGGCAAGGAGAGCTCTGGCTCACATGGACCATTCCACCTGCCTATCATGGGCTTTTTTTATCAGCCACCTGAAAAACATCTATTTTACCTAGATAATGACTCACAGCATCACATATTTGACGTCTGACTTCTGGTTCAAAGCAATTACAATAAATAAATACAATAAATGGCAATTTATTGTATTTAATGACAACAATAAATAAACAACGATGGGAATAGACAGTGCTTTACAAGGATCTTTTGTGGGCACAGCCCTGCTCGGTGTGTCATGTACACTAGGAGGACAGAGGTCAATTAGAGTATTTATTTGAGATTAGAGGAAATTACAAGGTAAAAAAAATAGCCTGTGGGTAATGTTCTGCTGGGAGGAGAGTTGATGGCAAAGGTCAGAGAAGGGCAAATGGAGCTGAATTGGCCCCATTGGCTGGGAATGGTGCAGTAAGGGGTTTTTGAAGGGGTTTTTTCCGCTTAGCAAATGCACGTGTGCTGCAGACTCAGCTCTTTCCAGGAGTGTCAGCACAGTGCATTCACTGGACACAAGTGTGTTGCAGAGCCTTAGAAACACAGCTTGGGCTGACTTTAATTGACCTGACCCTGATCCACTTTATCCATCTTTACCACTGGCTTAATTGGGTGGTTGCAATAGCTGCTGTGCTGTTGGTATCAAATCTGTGTTTCCTTATGAGAACACCACATCTCTGTGCAGCCAGAAGGCTCAAGAAAAACAAATCTGTCTTTTAATGGTGAATTCCCACTTTGGAAACCAGAGAGGCACAAACAGGGCCCTGTCTGGACAAGCACAAGGATGCTCTGGGGCTATCCTGGAGGAAAGCAACTGCTCCTCTGCACATGTGTCTGGTCCCTGAGGTTAACTGTTTAGCTTTTGTATTTTTAGGGAAAATTCCAGGCAGCAAAGTAGGGGTAAAACTGATCTTGGAAGTTATTCCAATGCTTATTTCCCAGGAGCTATATTTAAACCTGTTCCCTTTCTCTTGCCCCCAAAAGTTAATACCAGCTGTGTGTCAGGGCTGCTGACACCTGCAAACAGCTTTCCAAAAATAATAAGTATGTTTATGCTGGGCTTAGATCTTAAAAAAGGCACTTTTCTATTTTGGTTTGGGTTTTTTTGTTAGTTTGTTGGGGGAGGGGGGTTTGGTTGTTTTTTTCTGTTTTGTTTTGGTTTTTTTACACCAGACGCCAGTATCTCCCTATAGCCAATTCTAAGTGGCTAATGGAGGAAAGTGTGTTTAGACTCATTAATTCTATAAGTATAAATGCCACTGTCTTTATAAATATGTCGTAATGCTCTATTGGTCAACTTTGCCAGATAAGACATTCTCAGCCCAAACATCCACTTCTTCTGCAAAACTTTTGGTTTTGAATCAAAGCCTTAACTTATCTCAGCAATTCCCATTTAATTTCTGCAGCTTCCCTGCAGGGCAGGGAGAACCTCTGCCCCAGGGTGAGGCATCTCTGGAGTCACTGGTGGGAACTCAGCTGTGTCCCATTTTGCTCCTGCTGGGGATCATGGCACTCTGTGGTCAATGGGAAGGGCAAAAACCCAGCTGAGGCTCTACCCTGCTCCCCAGAGGGATTTCATTTCCCCTCTGCTCTCAAAGGAGCTGGAAGCAGACACAACACTGGCCCCCAAAAGCAGAAGCAGATCCTGCATTACCCCCTGGTCTCAGGCAGACTTTCTCCCAGCTCTCCATCAGCAGGGAGCGGGTGCTGGGCTTTTCCTAAGGATATTCATGCAACTGCAGGGCCAAGAGTGTCAGAGAAAACAGAGAGGGCCACCAAGCTGCTCCTCTGAGGGCTGATGACCCCTCAGAGGCACCCCTGGGCAGACCCCTCTGTGGGGCTCCTGTCTGGCACTGCTCACATGGAAACCACAACCCTCACGCCCCTAAAACAACAGCAGCCTGAAAACAGTGAGAACCTCTGCGGGAGAAACACCCTGAGACACAACCCAGGGAACAGATGTGTGTTAAACAAGTTGCATTTTCCCATTTTGGGGCATTTTTGAGCGGCACAGAAATTCACACCGAGCTGATGACGCGCCCAGCATGGGCACAGCCCAAGATGAAGCAACTGGCAGAGCCACGTGGGCTGCTGCAAGCCTGCTGCACTGATCCCCTAACCAGATTAGGGCTGGAACACAGAGGGCAAATTTGCACCCAGAATAGTGTATTTCAGCCTATTCTGATCATCTCCTGGACAATAAGGCTACATGAAATTACCTAGGGGGGAGGTGGACTTCTCCAGATCCCACTGGACAAGTATGCACCCCCCCCCAGGACTGGTATATAGCACAGCTATATACCAGTGATCAAGCAGAAAGAAGGCAGAGAAATACAGTCAATGCTTTGGGCTGTGGGAAAGAGCAGTGGTCTGGCAGTGTTTCAGATTTGTAAATGCCTCCAAGGCCCACCCTGGAAGCTGTGGGATGTCTAAGGACAAAGGCAGCCCCACTCTCACACACCAGTTTGGGTCCCAGGTGAGAGGAGCACACAGTCCCTGCAGTACAGAGCAGCCTCACCTCAGCAGGGGCACCACCCTGCCCTCTGCTCTACCCGCTTTGTCAGCCTTTGTCACTGCTAAAATGCAGTGTTCAAGTTCAAGAACAAGGCCATTGTCATCACAAATGGAAGGAGGGTTCACCTTGACAGACACCTCAGCTCCTGCTGGGCTCTTGGGCTCTGGCTGCCCTTGGATATCTCTTGTGGGTGAAGACAAGGAGCCACCTCCACCCTGCGGGTAAAGATAAGGAGCCAACTCCACCCTATGGGACTGATGTGGCCCAGTTTCTCTTGTGCCAGTGCTGTCAAGAGGAGTGAGAGAAACCTGAACCAGCACAGCAGCCAAGACAAAAACCTCGCCAGGATGTGATCTCTGCCAAGGACAGACCATCATCATTTTA